AATTTACTAATTCAAGTGGAGCCAGGATGGAGAGAAAAAGGAGCAAAGCAAAACCCTATATGTGTGAAAATCCACAAGTATTAGATAGCTAAACAAACCATAAGTCCCTCAGTGTTGCAGTAACGTCAAAACCTTTCACTATTGTACCAGTGTGTCAAAATATGTCAACAAACCATCATACTGCAAGAAGAAGAATGACCTTTCAGTACTTCATGTTTGGGCTGCCAATGAAGCTTTGGATACTGGGTATGCATGAACAGTTTTCCTAGCCACTTGACAAATGCAACTCCCAAAGTTTCCTCCCAGTTTAGTTGTTACACTGGTTTTCAACTCACCAGTACAACTTTTTTAAACCATCTGCAATTGAAGAATACTGAACTCGTTAATAGAACAGAGATCCATAAACCCACAGCATAAATCCCTCTTCCCCTACCACCTACAATCAGACAACAATTATTACTTCAGTCTTCACAGTAACATGTCAAACCATTTCAAAGACTTCAACAGCAAAAAATGTCTATCATTCTGATGTTCTAATTCCGCCCTTGCTCATATATAACTCATAGTTATAGTCAACCCCAAATGAATTTGAATCCTCTTCCCAAAAAACTCAAGAACACATCATCTGTGATTGTGACTGAAATACAATGTTTTGCATCATTTCTGTTTGCACTTATCTGAAATAAATACCCTTTTTAATCTACAGGACTCTATGATAATTTTACTATGACTGTTAGTTTTAAACTAAAGTCTGAAGATCAGAAATAATGTATTGATTAACAAGACACTGAATCATGAATTTAGGCTTCCAAAAAGTGTGGTTATTATTTTAAAATCACTTATGGGAAACTTGCTTTTATTTATTTTTTCAAAAAAGCAGAAGCACAGGACTAACAACATTTAGAATGCAAGCAAATGAGGGAAGGATTTTACTGCAGAGATGACTTACCATTTTTATTCAAAGAGAAGATGAAATGCTTCTCTTTCACTATGTGAAATTGCCTTTAATATCAATGTCAAATATGACATTTTCCTACGGTCTTCCTCACATACAGTAAAGTTTCTTTAGCTAATAACGACGTCAAGCTTTCTCCTGGGACTCTCTAGAAATTACATTCCAGAATGTCCATATGCCTTAGCCATGCTTGCAGAAGATAGAAAATGTAAATTGCTGTATTTGAGTTTATATCTTCTTACAGCAAGTCACTGACAGTGCACCCACTAATTACTATTTGAACTGAGTGTTGCAGATTTCTACATCCTTAGAAAACAGCAGTCATGCCTTTCAGCTCTGACTAACAGACTTTTACAGCCAGGACTCCAAGTTAGAAAAAAATTAAAAAATTAGACACTACCTTAAAAAAAAAAAGAGAACAACAACATTCATCTAAACCCTAAAATAATTTACAGTATGTTCACAGACCCTGTTTTAAAGTGCAATCTGTGTAACTTCCTGTTTATGCTCACCAAATTACCTTTGGTCACACTGGCTATTCAACAGTTTTTATTCTCATGGTTACAAGAAATACACCAATGTAGGCCAGTGAACAATGAAAAGTATGGTATCTACTACATGTGCTCAAAGCAATTATATTTTGCACATGCAGTTGTTTTGCTTACCCAGTGGCACTGAAAGCTATAGCCTGCTGAGTAGATGCCACCGAACAAACATAAGGAGGGAAGGGATTCTGTAAGTACATGAAACATTTTAAGTTTTTCCAGTATATACAAGAGTTTTTTTTTCTAAAACATCACTCTGCAAAATCAGTCTGGCAATATGCAAGACCAAATTTGCCTTTTTCCTGCTTCTTTATTATTAAAAAAATCTCAAATATCTAAAGAGCATCTTAAATTACAAGTGTGCATATCCACTGACAAGGTACACTTTGTACATTTTTAATGTGAAGCTTAATTTGAAGATGAGGTTGCAGTGCACCACTGCAACTGAAAATTGCTTAACAATACCATTGATGTATGAGCCATAAAAAACCTTGCTAAGCTGTCCCTGCAGAACTCAGAGTAATAAAAAGGTGTTCTTTTGCACTGAGGTGAACAGACATGGTTGACTGCATCTAGGGAGCTGTTCTGTTAAATGAGAAAGTGCCATTTCTTTCCTGTCAGTACAGACCAATTTAAGACACTTACAGATTTAGTTAGCACAGAGTACAGGATTTAATGAAATACACACATAACAGTAAACAAACCACAGCTATGTTCAAAGCTTTCAGTCACATTCTGAGTAGAATTCATCTTACATCTGTGACATATGGGAAAAGAATCCAGAAACTTTTCCAGTCTGACTCCTAATTTTTAGAGAAGCAATAAAAAAGCTGAATGGAAAAAGTCTAAAACCTCTCACTTTCATTCCTTTCAAAGTATCTAATTTGTATTTCTATCCACATCTAACAGGCAATGTTACAGATTTTCTCTTCAATTTCATTTTCACTTTAAGTTCAACCAACGGATCAGGTTTACAACACCCTAAACTATCAGCTGAGTGTCATGATATCTCCATTGTGAACTGATGCTGCTTCTCCAAATGATTTCTCTGATCAGAGGAAGGGAGACACAAAGATATGGTGAATTGATTGGGAAGCTGGTTCTCACTTGAGAGATAGGCTGATTAAATAACCCAAAATTAATTCACATTTTGGGCAGCTACGCCAGTGTCCTTTTACATAAATAGTTTCAGAGACCAACAAAAGTTAACTGTCTAACCTATTTGCAACCTAATCTGTCAACGTGTGTTCATTAACTCAACTGTCATTATATTAGAAGCTACAGTAACTCAGAGCTCATTTCAGAAGATGTAACAATTGTCAATTTGGCCACGTGGTACCAAAATTAAGACTAACAGGATTTGTTCTTTAAAGAAAGGCCACAGAAATTTGCCTAATTTCCATGGTTAACCTATCACTAAATTTTAGATTTAGGGTGTAACAAATCTCACTAAAGAGAGCTCTAGTTTCCCTTATATGAATGTAAAGTCATTATATGTAAGAAGCAACAATTTTTGTACTTTTCAATGTAACAACTATAACAGATTTGGCAAAATCTCAAAACGACTTCCAAAACGTTTTATTGATCCACATATAATTTCAGTCTAGCTTTTGCAACATTAAAGATATTTGACTAACAGCTCAGTGAGAAAATGAGAAAATATTCCATTTTTGAAGTTGAATTATTAATTAGTACATGTTGAAATTAAATTGAAGTTAGCTATGTCTTGGTTTATTGAGAAATTTCCTTTGGAAATGTCAAATTCAAATGATACACACTATTCTCAAATGTTTTACACATTTTTAAAGCTCAAACCAAAATGTGGATAGACACTTTGTTTGGCACAAAAAAAAGAAACTTCAACTTTGCAATGGCAATTTTATTGCAAACAACAAATGGATCAGTGCCTTCATCCTACTTGTCTACTCAACTTTCACCCCATCTTAACTTAGTAAGTATCTTTATGCTCATGTTATCTATTTAAAATTCACTTCTTGGAGCTGCTTTCTCTGATACCATCATGGATTCCTTCAAACACATCCTTTATACTCAGAAAGTATTCCAGCCAGTACATCTAATGGCCTTCTCCAAGCCTGAGCTGCTCCATTTCATTTACACTGATGTGCAGTTCAGCACCAGTTGCATAAGCATCTTTCCTGCCATTCTCACCATTTGCCTAGATATTGTATGTAGTCAAATTTCTTTCTAAGTTTTATATTCTGTTTATATGTGTCACAATTTATTTTCTACAACTTTCCTGTAATATCTTCATCCAACAACTGACAGCCTTTCTGAGGTTCCCATTGCCTTGATTCAAGTTTTCCAAGTCACTGATTTCTGGGACTGTCAAATAAGAGCATGTCCTTATGTCAATCAAGAATGTTGCTGCAGAGCATAATTCCAAACTTTGATGATGTTATTCTCAAGATTTGGTTTCCCTTTCTCTGATGCCTTCCATGGAATCTGCTTTTAAAGTACTTCCGAAGGTAATGCTAGCTATTTTCACCTTGATGTTTGTCATTTTCAGCCGAAATACTAATGGTCAACAGACTGGACCCTGATGTTGGAGCACACTCCCTTTTTGTTGCATGTTCACGTGTTTGTGCCATGTTCTCCACTATCCCTTAGATGGTCTCTTGTTAACACTGAGCAACTTCTAAATTTATGCTTTAAAAAATCCTTTATTAAAACTTTCATTTATCTCACTATCTTGCTTAGGGTTCTACCACATACAAAAATGGCATTGAAGATAAAGCACTGTCCTTAAGATTTTTTTGGAAAAAAATCCTCCAGTGAGGAGGTATCTAGGACCATGGAAAGATATATAAATATACACAATACTGACTTTTAGAAGAATAAAGTAGAAGGATTTTAACCATCTTAAAGAAAAAATCTTTATACCAATACCATCGGTATGTTAAAAAATTCTGTCTAGCACAACTTATTTACCTCCTTACATTCCTGCAAATACTTACTACATTTTTAACTTGAAGATAATTGTTATTACTGCTTCAAATGTAGATAATATACAAAAGAAATACTTTATTAAAAAAAACCCCAGTGAAACAGTATTGTCCCGGATACAATGACAATAAGCAATAAAGTTCTTCACACACAAAGCCCACTTGGTTAGACTGCAAAGATTTTTTAACAAATTGTCACCTTGCATGTATTCCAAAACTTTATAGCAAAATCTTCTTTCAAAGTCAGGTACTAAAAAATTGACATATAACTTCTGTACCGACGTAACTTACTCTGTCATGTAGCATCACTGTAAAATCACCAGATGTATCTGCTGCATGTTAACAATTTGGATTTGAATTTTTCACAAATATTTCATAATTCCAATTTGACATGCTAAGTAATGACATTCAAAATGCCAGACTAGTAACATGTATTTTGTCCGCATGGCTTAACACAATAGTCACTACTGCTTTATTCAGTAACTTCTTTTTAAAATGTAATCCTATTTATCTATAAGGAAAATAATAGAAATATACCTGTTCCAGTAGCTCCAAAACTGGTCCTGCAAATAGGCTTGGTGGCTACTTTCATCACCGAATGAGGCTTTGCTTTCTATCCAGTGAATTATGTGTCCTTCCACAGCTAGGGTGACAGCAAAAAAGAAACTGAACTCTGAAAATCAAACTCAACAGCCTATAAGAGTGTGTTTGTGAACATCCTATTTACTCCACAATCTACCACATAATTCATGCTTGCAACAGTTACATATTTGTAAAAATTATCTTTCAAATATGCACAAAAAGGGCATTTAAAAAACTTATCAGAAAATACTTTAACAGATATTAATATCAATTTCAGTTTAATTACATCCTGTCCTAGATATTTGCATTTATTCTAACACAAAAAGAAAAAGAGATCAGCCTAAGAAACATGTTAATGGTGAATCTTATCAATGCATAAAACTTTCTGAAGGGTAGGTGGTAAAAAGAGGGAGACAGGCCCTTTTCAGTGGTGCCAAGTGACAGTACCAAAAGCAACGGGCACCGAAACACAGGAGGTTCCATTTGAACATTAGCAACTACTTTTTCACTGTGAGGGTGACTGAGCATGGGCAAATGTTGCCCAGAGAGGTTATGGATTCTCCCTGCTTGACATTCAACAGCTGTCTGGACATTGTGTTCGGCAAACAGCTCCAGGTGAACCTGCTTGAGCAACTGGCTTCCAGCCTCAGCCATTCTGTAATTCTGAAAGTTCACAATTTTCCCTGCTAACTTTAGACCTCGTAAAAACCACCAGTTCCCTCATCCCCTCAAGTCCTTGAAGCTTCCTGAGATTCTTCACAGTAATTATGGAAGTGAATGGGTAGAAATTAACTGAAAACTCTCCACATGTGGCTTGACGTGAGAGAACTGCAGTAGGATGCCAAATCTCCCTGTTTCAAATATGGAGTCCTTTAGTTATAAAAGTATTTTTTGTTTTGTTATTAACATCACCACCATTTTTGGGTTTTGGAAACATGATTAGGTATACAAACATGACTAAGCTAAGGAGAGTCTTTAAAACCTTTTCAGAAGACTCTCATATACACAGTTGTTTGCTGGATAGCAGGTGATTGTGCTGAAAGATGGTATTTCAAGCAGTTCTGTGTAGTGATGCATTTTATAGCACACGTTCCATCCCTTATACTAGTGTACAAATCAGTTATCTCAGTAAGAATTTCAGTTGTTGTCAATATGAAGAAAAAAAACGAGTCATGTATATGACTTTCACACTACTTTCAGCCTTTTTACTTTCTCTGGCAGACAGAAAAGTAGACATCTGCATAGATGGGTGCTGCATTCTATGGAGGCGAAGCAGAAGTCTTTTGGCACAAAAGCCAATTTACAAAAGGTGATTAATAATCCTTTACATTTGGACAATTTGGATGTTTTTTCTTCTGTGGCCCAGTGACTAGGTCATCTGGTTACCTTCTCACATGACCTCAACACCAGAAAAGGTAGATGAACTTTATGACCTTTTTACCTACTTTTATTCTTTATTCTTTCTTGCTATTCAGGCTTTTAAAAAACAGTGAAGAACTGCAGAGTTGTATTTGGATCCAAAGTGACGGCAAAAAGAATAACTGCACCACGACAAAACCTTTATACACCTATAGGTGTAACAGTAATACTCTTGAGACTGCTTTGAACTGATTTGGTCTAGGAGTAAAAGACATTTCAGGCATTTCAGAGTTTAGTTCAGAAAGATAGTGGGTAGAGTACATTAGAGGGAGCAGGGATTTGGAGGTTCTTATTGTTGGGTTTTTTTCCTTTTTTGATAATGAGATAAAAACATACAGAGATTAAAGAGGAAACACTGGGTAACACTACTTACAATCAAATCTCTCTGAACCAAACTAGGAAGTTCTTAAAATTATTGGGTAACTCCTGAAGAGACTAATTTGTAGTATCCTAGATTATGCTTCACTTAAGTAGCCATAATATTTTAGCATGAACTGTTCTACACAAAACAAAATTATAAAAGTTCTTTTAAAAGACTTACCTACTGGTACTTCTAAAATAAAGTCTGGTGTTTTGTCATAACCCTTTGCACGAAGCTGATCTTCAGCTGCACATATAGAATAAGGACTACTGTTTATAAAACTATTCCATTAAGTAGACAGCAGCATAATTAATTTTATTTTAAATAAGAGTGCAAGAATTACTAATGCAGTCATACATATCTTTCTTATGCATGCAATGCTATGTCAAATTAAATGAACCTTTGTAGAAAACCTGAAGCATGGATATAAAAATGCTTCTTTGTCATCCCTGCATTTTTATGTCTTCATTATAAACATCATTAATTCAAGCTGTCATACAGTATTTTATAACCTCCAAATATTCAAAGTAAAGAGGTATGTTCGCTGATTGAAAGAAGAGCCTCTCCACCTTCGGATGCGTAAAGATTAATCCTACCAACACCACAAATGTAGATATACTGTAGCTGTCTTCTTGGTTTTATTTTTAATGTTAGCATAGAGTTGTTTAAAAAGAGGCATGAAAATCCTTCTCTCCCAGGAATTTATTAAAGTAGAGAGGAGCCATAATTTTAGTTTCTCTTGCATTCTGGATTCTATAGAATTTATCCAATTTCAGAACATACAAAGATTTAGAAATTCTGCTAACATTAATTATACAACTCTATTACTTACAGATATTAGAGCTGAATATTTCAAGAAATAATAATGAGCAAAATAAAATTGCAAAAGACACAGGGTGCTCCTAAAAAAAAAGGTAAAAAAAGCCCAAGCAAGCCCTTAATATTTTTAAACTATTGTCCTTCATTTCTCATACCATTACATTGGTATTTCTGAAACACCATTTCTCCATTAGAATTTGGAGTGACCTGGTCATTCAATTCCAGGCATGGCTTTCTGTCTTCACCCAGGCTTAACTAATGGCACTACCTAGTAACAAGTAAGGCTGTGTAGCCCCTTAACACCTACTGGGCTGTTGACATTGTCATGCATCCCATTCGCCTTTCTACATCACCTTTGATTAAAATTAATGGCCCATTCTCACTGTTGGGTAGCTTATTTCCAATCCATTTATCAGGTTAGGACAGTAGTTTCATGGCCAATGTTCAGAACTCAGTTTTTGAATACTTTGTGCATATCCTGAAAGGTCAGCAGTTTGAGTCCAAGTAACATTTTAATGACAAGAAAAACATACAGTCTTAGAAATCAAAATATTGTAAAAGTGCCAAAAGCAAACTCTCCCACTCTTTTTATTGAAGAATATAAGTCTGAAGTATTATTTTATATAGTGAACTCATTCTGAAAGTGGGACAGGAGTAAATTTGGAAAGTTGTACATTCACTTCTGTGTAAACTGCAATAGATGTTTATTCTTTTTGAGAGTTGTACTATTTTTTTTTTAATTTTGAGAGCATTTCTTCACTATAAATAGACTATATTGTAAATACAAGTCTTTGCAATGCAATACTTCATTATATCACCCAATCAGGTAATGAAAAGCATTTCTAGGATTTGGAGACAGACTTGGTTGTTGGCTATTTTTTCAAACTAAGATTGTCACATATACGGACAAATGCTATTAAGAATAAGAAGGTTCTAATTTAACAGAACTCATGAATAGAGAGTTTTATGCCATAACATAAAAATGAATTAATGTTCTATGTAATGTCTTGATCTTGATTAGAAAAAATCCAGTTTCATCCGACTCTATTTAACTGTAACCTGCTCTTAGTTGTTTAAAACGATCTAGAATAGACAATAGGATGTCCCAGCTGAAATGTTCATCATTCAAGAGCAATAGCATTAGAAAGGTCAGTCTTTTCCTTCACATCTAACAAATCCTACTACCACAAATTAAGGGAAATGCACCTTAAAAAAAACTTCACTGAAAACTAGGACAGATACAAACATGGTTGGATAGGTCAACTTGAAAGGCCTCTGAACTGGAGTCTGTGTCAGCATTACTTTTAATATTCTTCAGCAGATTCTTTTGGCACTAATTCATTTATTAAAAAAGAACATGGTTTTTGTTTTAAATCTGTTTTTGAATGTCTTTACTTGGTTTTCACTAACATTTTGTGATAAACACTGGAAAATATACTAAAAAGAATGTTTATTGTTGATGTGAGTTGTCTATCTTATGGAGGAATATAATTTTGCATTATTATTTCCTCAAGTGTTTTGAAGCTTTATAACTCTGAAGAAAAAAGTAATTATAGAAACTCCCCATAATCATTAAGGAATTTTTGTTTTAAACCATAATCCCACCAAAAAGATGTTCTACCTTTTCAGTCCAGGTATGTTTCACATTGGTCCAAAAACTACAGAGGTAGCGTTCTGCACCTCAAAAAATCTTCTAGCTCTAGCATGGATTAAGAGAATAATTTAACAACTGTTTGAAAGCCAGCCCACAGCAGCTTTGACAATTACACCTATGCATCCTCAGATTTGAAAATTATGCGGAAACAGCCCCAATAAGTAGTTTGTCTACAGATTGACCATTAATTTTGATTTCCAACAAAACTGCAGCTTCATCTTTGCCACAACTTCACACTCAATCATAACCATTTAACACATCATTGTTCTTATACTTGCCTCTGGATATTACAAAGAAACAAAACATTCTTTTGTTGGTGCATGAATGAGCTGCAACTGCAAATTTAAGATCACAGCAGAAAACACGGATCAGATTTCATGATTTATATCCAAGCCACTATCGAGGGACACCATGGTGGGAGCCAAAGGAGGATAAAGCTCAGTACCAACCCATATAGGTAAAAGCTTTCCTAATATATTTATGGTAAAGATATAAAAATGTATATCTCTCTATATACATATGTAAAGGATCTATATATAGAACTTAGAAATTCTTGGCATTTCAGTATAGTGTGTGAAGCTGTTTTGAGAGAATGCTTCTGCTGATCACTTTAATCTCAGGCAAAGTATTTTTCTGAAGGGAGAACCTGGTATATGATGTGCTTCCCATGAGCAGTGGATTAATAAAATGTAACCCCATTAGTGTGTATAGGTTTCCAAACAATTTCAGGGTGAGTTTGAATGTGTTACTTTCTCATCTGTAGGCTCTGAAAGCTAACTGCTCTACAAGCAGACAAATTATGTCCTGAACCTGAAAAGCTGTTTCATGCTCCAATACTATACAGGGGCAATTTATATTCACTGTGTCCTTTGACTGTGCTGTCTTCTCCTGTACTAGATTCTCTGTTGCACAGGTGAACACAGCTGATACAACCCCCCTGACTATTCTGAAGGACAATACACTGGAATAGTACACTAATATGGAAACTGTGAAAATTCTGGTTTTTATATGTTAAAATGTAATGGAATTGCAAGTCATAAGCCATCTTCAAAACTGGAATGAAGTCTTACACAACAATGCCTGAATTTGTGAACCTATAGGAAATTCTGTCATCTCTTCTGTTTTCCTGAGGTTTCTTCAAGCAGTTTTGGAAACAGTTTTTCAGAAATAAAAGGTTTTATTATGAGTGACTCAGAAGGGTTCATCTTGCAGACACTTAAAGAAAGCTTTTCTTTTCAGAAAAAAACAAAAACCAAAACCCAAACACATCTAGAACCTGAAAGACACTTGTAATGCACAGGCACAATAAACACAAATGCTTAACGTATAAACAGTAAATTATGCTCTCTCATTTATATCTTCATATCCTAATGAGTTAACTCATTCTAGATGTTTTGATTTGACAGCACAGATTTCTTACACCTTATTTCTAAAGACAAAATTGATGCTTATCCAAGTTCACGAAACATGAAAATGTAAATCTGACTTGTATACTGCACAAGCTTACACAAGCCAAATAAAATCATAATTGTTGGGTTGAGGATCCCTCAGTGAGTCATCTAGTGTATTCCCTTGTATTGTGACAGGACTGACTACATTACCAGCTTTGATAGATGAGTGTCAAATCCAGACCTGAATTTTCCATTGGAGGTGATTCCATAACCTTCCCTGACAGTTTCTTTTATACTTCTTGTTCCTGGAACTGTTTGGTATTTTAACCCAACATCATCTCTGCAGTTACAGCTTAAGCCTATTACCTGTATCTATGTTCTTACAGTCAAGTAGGAAAATCTACCGCTTCACATTTTCCTAGTGTCACTTGCAAGCTTGCATGTGATAGTTATTCCTGTCCTTTTTTCACTTTTGTATAAAAGAGCACACTAACTCTGTTCTTTAATTGTACACACAAATATTTTTAAAAGCTTAATACGCCTCTCAATTTCTTAAATTTGTTTAAGGTTTCCAAATTCCTAACCTGATATAGCTTGAGAAGAGATCATAGTTCCTGGTAAAACCAGAAAATTCACACAAAATTAGTACAATGCTCAACCATTAACAAAAGACAGCATCATCACATAAGGAATCACATATCGTCTCATCACATAAGGAATCCAAGATTTAAGAAGTCATTGTTTACTATTGCATTAAGAGAATGGATGCTTTAAACACTAATCTTTGTTTCAATGGCACTCATGTAAAAGAAACATACTGCAGGCTAAAAGAAAAAAATGAAAATCACTTCCTAACTAATTAATTCTTAAAATAACTTTAAATACAGGGAGTGTGAAAAAGAGTACTTGCATTGATTGGGAGGCAGGGGGCAAAAATTCAGCAGAAACTGCACAGAAAAGTAAATGAGTGAATCCTCTAGCAGTTCTTTCATACATAAAGCATTCTGAAGCTAATATTTCTTATGCTTCCTCCTAAGTCTCATAAGGTCTAGATTATGGCTAATATCTCATGACACCAAAAGTAATACTGCAGCAGATATTAAAGCATTTTTTTCAGCTACTTATTCTATAAAATATTAATTGCAAGCCTGTGCATGTACTGTATATAAAGGGTATTAGGTAACTGAGTTCCTGCTCCGTTCCAAATCAATAAAAGATAACATGAACAGCATCAATCATTTTTTACTCTTCTTTTACTACCTAATACAAGGAATGTTGAGGCTTATTTTTTTCTCAGGTAAACAGTCATCGACATCTTTAAAGTTAAGAACACACTGGCTAGCCTCTACTACAGATTCTTACCTATGAAAGAGAGATTTTTTTCCAAAAGCATTTCTCGCAGCAAGACTTCATGCTCATGCCCAATAGCGCTGATAGCTTTAGGTTAAGAAATGGAAGATTACTTTGGAAAAGAAGCAACTTCATAAAAACATCATAGGTAAAGTAATTCAATAGAATTTATTGACCTTCATCTGCATTTCAGAAGTGATCAGTGATCTGAACTCTCAGTTCTAAAAATCCTTACGGGGATTTTCAGAAGTATGTATCACTTTATGAAAATCAGACTACTGTATCAAGAGCATGCATTTCACAGAATTAAGACCCACTTGACCATATTTATTAAGCATAATTAAGGACAATATTTCCATTCTTTCTTTATTCTCCCTCTAAATTTAAGAGAAAGTGTGATCTTAAAACATGCAGTTAAATACCTTTTAAGTTGCTCTTTACTGACTAGTGTATCAATTCTCCAATTCAGCAAAGGATGAAATAAACTGGGATTTTTTTTCTTTATATTCTGAAATTGATAGGCACTACATCTATCTGAAACATCTTACTGAAAAAAACATCCTTTTAATTGATTTTTCAGAAGCATGAACTAAAGCCAGGGAAGGATAAAATAATATTTTATAGTGAAGTCCTTTGCACTTCACTGACAGCTGTTGATCCAATGTGCTATTCTTGGTGGTATGTAAAAAAGTCACCAGATTAAATATTTTTAATGTATCCTTCTAGAGGTCAAAGTTCTATTCTGGAAGCTTTGAAGAAGAATCCTATGGAACATCATGGTAAAAGATCTTACATTAAATGCAGTTAAGTTCCAAATTCTGTTTAGAATAACCTCTGAAAACTTAAACTACAGATCATCTTACCATTACAGTTAATTATCTAATTCATATGAACACTTCATGCTGACCAGCAAAAAGAAAATAATTCTTTGTAATAATTTCACATGTACATACAGTTTTTATTAACTGAAACTACATATTATGCTAAACTCTACTCGCAGTTTCAGAAGAACAGCAAAAAGGTAAGAAAAATACTGCAAACAGAATTTATAATGCACCATAAGCAGAAACACTGCTTATAATAATACCTGTTATTGATGTATGGCAATGACCATGGGGCAAAACTTGTAAATAACTTCACAAGCCACTTTCTACTCATGCAATCTAGCAGCCTAGTTTCCCGTAAGCATCTGAACTATTACTGAAAAATAGCCTCTTGGCATTTACAAAGAGGTTGACTTCATACTTCAGTCCATGCATATACAATTAGATAGTTACATTTAAAATCAATATGCAATCCTTCAGAAGACATTATGCTTTTAAAACCTTAACTTTAAATTGATTTTTAACTATTTTATGCACCTCAAAATTAATATCTAATTCAGCAACATACTTACAGTAATGCACTCACATAGCTTAGCATTAAACTTTTCTATACCAAAATGGAATTGAAAAACTTCTCATTACTCTCATCAATGTCACTTCGTATTCAATAACTGACTCGAGCCAGAATCTGAAGAGGATATAAAAGTCTTTTCTAGACTGCAGGCAAGCTATTCTTTAAAATGGTTCATAATTCTACATATGTGTCATTATTACTTTTAAACGTGACACTTTCAGAAGTCTACAGCCAATCAGCAGACTTCAGAAGTCTACAGATTGCTCATGCACAAAATATTAATCTTAAAATTCTGGATACGAAAATTAGTGACCAACAACCTTTTAAAAAGTGCAACTTATTAATCCACTTTTAGAGAGCTTTGTTTGATCTTGAAGATAGTCTCAATGAATACTTAAAATTACCATTTAAAGCACAAAGTACAAAGAAAATTAGACCTCTATCCTGCTGTTGTTAAAGTTAATGGGAGCAGGGCTGAGACTGTAGTAGACACCAGACAAGTATTTCTAGTAGAAAGAACATATTTTTAAGGAGTGACAATCACATGTATCACACGTACAAGAAGTACTGTTTTTCACGCATAACTAAACATCACAGTAGCTTTCCTATCCTGCAACTTTACAGTGAAATCAAGATCTTCCCCCAAACTGCATGCAGAGATTCGTGCAAGGATTTTCCAGGACTTGGGAGGGAACTGCCTTACTAGCCTGCTCAGTGATAGCAGGCTATGATTTCGAAATTGTTCCTTTGACTGCATACTGAAACAGAAGAGCTACTCCTTCAGTACTTTACTAAAGCAGATTTGGGGGCTCAGTGATCATTCCTAACAAATTATAATCCTAGTCTGTAATAGTCTGCGTGGAGTTCCCTCAGTGTACTCACAGTGTACTGAGGCTCTCTAATTAACCATTTCAACATCACAAAAAAATATCCCTGAAAATTTAAGCTACGTAGAGTTTTTACTACAGCTAGTATAATTTCCTTTAAGAAGAAGAGAAAATAAAAGAAGAGCACTGGAACGTCAGATAGGAGCTTAAAAATACTAATCGGTCAATCAAACTTGAATTGTACTTGAGAACATTTCAATTAAAACCCATATTCGTAACAAAGCAAACCCATAATGTTGAACACTACCTATGAAACTTAACAAAATAGCTGAGATTGGAAGGTATCTCCAGAGATCATCTAGTCCAACTTCACCACTCAAAGCATGGTCAGCTAGTCTTAACACAAAACCAGACATGCATTTCAACTAATCAACACCAAAGAGGTTCAATCAGGCATATGAATGTGTAGCCACCAAACTGACATCTTCCTGTGGTCCATCTGATTTTTGTTCGTGTAAGAGAAAGCTCAGCAGTGACTCTCTGATTGAATGTAAAACAGAGGAGTATGAAACGTGTTTTGTGAAGCAGAACTTTATGTCAGGTTAAAGCTAGACACATCTCTTCCACACAGTCTAAGCTCGTCAATTGTGCACCTAAAATTTTATGGGAAAGGATACTGTTTGATGCAGTCCACCAGTGGTCCATAACAACAGTCATTCACAGTACACTGCAGACA